CCTCACATATATTATTGTGTGTCATCTCTGTACTACCAATTTTGCATGTTGTTCCAGATGCTTTATTTTCATACTGCCAGTATCTACATGCAGTACAGTCTCCATACAAATTTCTGGTTTAGAAAGAAAGAAGGCCAACTCGCTCAAGAGCACACTTTTTGCTAAAAGGAAGAGAGACAGGAACGTAGGTGGTGAGCAAGCCTCCTTCACTGGACTGACGTCAGGCTCCCACGAGTGATTAGCTTTGAACGTGCCGCGTTAGTGTCAGGCCAAGGCAGACACACGCATCTTCAGCGCTTCGTGCCACGTGTGCCAGTAAAACCATCCAGCAGCTTTTCTCAGGGTGATGTTGGCACATGTCAGATACATTAACATTTCTACTGGAATGACTCATTCGCAGGGAACAGTCAACTCGGAAGGATGACAGAGGGGAGGGGGAGAAGCATTTTATAGTCTTTCAAGATTTGAGGACCAGCTCGACTTTCAGGGGTGTTTTAAGAGAGCAGTCACGGTCTTACTGGTACGGTATCATTTGTTTGATAGCATCATCGTTGTTGTGATGTGTCTGTTGCCTTAGCTTCACTAACTTAGAGGTCTGGAGGAGGTCACTGAGCCACTGGGTGGACACGGGTGGACCTCCCCTGCTGGCTGCACCCCTCCCCCGGCCCCCAGGCCAGGTCCCTCTCTTCTTCAGCGTATCAGGAGGGGGTGGTACCCAAGCCTCCAGCATCTGCCTTGGCCACGCCTAAGGCTTCTTTCTCTTATGCTTCCCCAGAGCTCAGCTCACCCTCCTCAGGTAGATGCTGATAAGACACACTAGGCTGACCTCTGGGGTCAAGTTCAGGGGTCCTGCCCCCCTCCCCTCTCCGCATAGTGAGACCTCCGTTACCATCGTCGCTGTTGCTTGCTCTCGCTTTGTTTTGTTTTGGGGAAGATTTGACTGTGGTTTTGGCTGTAAAGGAACCAAAAATGAATTGATTAATTGCAATTGGATGTGACAGTACTTAGAGCCCCAGGCGCAGCCCCTTCCTCCAGGGGCCTCCGCAGTGCTGCCTGGCCTTATGCACCCACACCTCTGTCTGCCGGGAGGGCAGCTCCTCCCTCCAGGGAACGACCTCACAAGTGGCTCAGTCCCAGGGTCCATGCCTGACTACCCGTGGGACCCAGAGGAAAGAAAGCGCCTGCCATGTACCCAGGCTTAAGACCAGCCTTCCAACTCTGTCCTAGTGTTGACCGCATCCCAGGTGGTGGACGATGGGGATCTCCATTCTCTTCAAGAGTACACATCTTCATCCCCATCCTTCCACCCCCCACGCACATAACCCCAGACAGGTGATCAGGATGCAGTTGTCCGACAACCAGACAATTCCCCAAGCCTGAGCCATTGAATAGTCAAGAGGTGTTTTCATAGGTTATCAGCATAATGGTCTAGGGTGGCCTTCCCCCAGGTTCTGTTTTCACAGGGACTCCCTCAAGACAAGATGAACACGCGCTAAGCCGTCGTCTTCTGTTTCATACCCTTTACCAGAAACACACTGATACCAACAAGGACAAGCCATGATTCAGTTTCAGCCACTTTGGGGATAACTGTCTACTTCTTGGGAACTACTGCAGCCCGCACACTGAGATCTATACGTGCCATGTCACTTACAGTGGAAGGCAAGCCATCCCAAGGACGTCTTGGACATTTTTGATATTGTCAATTATCTTTACAAGATGCAGTAACAGTGTAAATAGACAGTTGGTTTTGGTTTTTTGGATTTTTTAATGGATGCGTCATAGAAAACAAAGGGAGAGGGTATTATTGGAAAGCGTAGCTCTCCCTGAGAGACTCTTTTTCCGTGCAGCCCAGTCTGGTTTGCCCTCATCTTGCTTCCCTGGGACTGCAGGGCAGGCCTCTGTGATTTCAGGGCGCAGGCTTTCCATGACACCACGTTGCCTGCCATGCAGTCAGGCGTTGTTTGTCAGCCACCCCTAGGTTCGGTGAAGCATCGCTCAAGGCAGTGTTTTGAATTCTACCATCAGTCGTTAAGAAAGGCCGCTTAGTGGAACAGACAGCTTCAAACTAACTTCCTCCCTCCCTCCCTCCCTCTCCCCGTTCCTCCCTCCCTCCCTCTCTCCCTCCTGCTCTCCCTTCCTCCCTTCCATCTTTTTTCCTGCCTGCCTTCTTTCCTTTATTTCTTTTTTAAATTTCTTTTACCAGTGTTGGTTATTTATCTGAATCTACTATAAAACTGAATCTACCATCATCTGTTACCTAAGGTCACCGGAATTGATCTTCTCACAGACATAAAGGCGTCTGTAATTCATTTCCTGAGCTTCTCCTCCAGCTGCTGTCACATTTCTTTCCCTTCTCCTCTGCCCCCTAACAGCCTGAGTGTAGTTTAGGGGAAACCTTCTGAGCGAGCTCCACAATGTGTCCTCTCTTGCCCATGAATTCAAGATATCTGAACCCTCTTTAGGTGGGGTGATCATTTCCCTGGTATATGCCTCCTGTCCCTACATCTTTCAGGTGCTCCCTTTAACTCTCAAAAGTGACCTGATCTGATAACTCACACGGTTACTGTCTTCCTAAGAGACCTTTAAACTCAGTTCAGACTCCAAGTTCATGGCTTGTGCCCGGCAATCTCAAGCCCTCCCGAAGATTTCCAGAAGTGTCTTGAGTTCCCGGGGTGTATCGCCTTGTGCTCCTCCGTGGTTTCCTAGATTCTCTGGTTCTCTCAGGGATCAACCTAGATGCAGAATTCAGCTTTCATTGTTGACTGAAAAACTCCACTAACATGGATTCCGTGAGCACTTGGGTATATTTTATTTACACTTGGGGCAAGTGCTGGGAGTGGCCACGTTGTGGTTTGTGAGCTCCCTTCCCCCATCTTACTGGTTCTCTTCCTCCTCCCTGCCCCTCATCCTCCCTTATCTCCCCTTCTCTGCTGAGAAGCAATAAACACATTCCTCTCTCTGCCCCCTGCAGAGCGTTGCTGTTCAAATCAGGTCCCTGAGGTCCTCAGCTTGTATCCCCCCCTACTTGCCAAGGAAGTTTTCTAAAGAAATGTCTTATTCTCCGTGAGAAAAAGTCTGAAGAATTCTTTCTTTTTTCTTCGTTTAATTAAACCTACCTACTTACCTACCTACATTTGATTTAATTGTCCGTATCTCCATTCTCACTGGCACGTGGACAAAAGTAAACTTTGGCAGAAAAATATGGGAGAAAAGAAGAAAGATGAAAGCACGAAAGAATCGACAGCCATGGGACAGGAAGAGAACAGGAGAGAGAGAAGGAGAAACAAAGGGAGGGAGTGGGGAGGGAGCGACCCTGGATGCCCAAGTTTAAGACAGTGGTTTTAAAACTGTCCTGCGAGTGGGTGTTCCTGGGGGTGTTGCTAGCAGTTTAGATTCGTGAAGCCTCACCTCACAAAGGCCTTGACCTGGTAAGTTCCACAAGGACCACACTTTGAAAACTCTCTGCAACGTGCCTAAGCTTAAGGGAGATAGTAAGATTATATGAAACTAAACGCAACTGAATTGGGAAGGATTATGATTATTTCTCTTTTCACCAGTTTACTTGAACTGTGTGGAGAGCGTTCTGTCAGCCTTGATATCTACTTTTGGCCTGAGAATCTGCAGTCAGCTTAAGTGGCAAAGTATTGAACACAGGCATTAGAATATCCAGCTCTTTTTCAAATCCACCCTTAGCTTAAACAATATACACGTTAGCCTTAATCCAGTACGTTTGCAGACAGAGACAACGTCAGGACATCCAAGACGTTGTTGGCCAAATTCCTCGGACTTTTTGGGGACTTCTTTTAAAGAACATGACAGAGAAGTCATGAAATAATACATGGAAAGTGCCTGGTACTTTGCCAGGAACTGAGTGTTATTACAATGAAAGGACCGTGATTTATCTGTTGGAGACAGAGAATGGCAAGCTCCCTGGCATGTGATGTCCAAGGTACCTAGTCAGTGTCTCACCTATGAGGAAAGTACCTACTCCAGGTGGTGAGCAGAAAACAGAATGACATTGACACAGCCAACTTCGTCTGTTTTAAAGCTGCCGTTGCGAATGTTTTATGTGATCCCTGCTGTTCTCTTATTCCTTCTGCAACTGTATTCAGGCAGTTGTCCCTGCCCCCTCCATGCCTAATCTATTTCTGGCCCCCTTCGTCTTTCATTAACAGAGCAGAGCCTGACTGGAGCAGGCCATCCAGGCAATCAGAGAGAGCTCTCCAGTCAAATTCCAGGGACAGAAGACGATGCCCTTTGCCTTAGTACACTGGGGCTGCTATAACAAAAGTACCGTGGATAGGGTGGCCTGAACAACAGTTACTTCTTACAGTTCTGGAGGTGAGAAGTCCAAGATCAAGGAGGCAGCAGATTTGGTGTCTGATGAGAGCCTGCTTACTTGGCTTTCACCAGAAAGGGGCAAAGGAGCTCTCTGGGGTCTTCTTTAAAAGGGCACTAATCTCTTTCATGAGGTCCCCACCCTCATGACCCAATCACCTCCTAGAGGCCTCACCACCAGATACTATCACATTAGGGATAAGGTTTCAACGTATGAATATTTGGGGGCAGAGGGAAGGGGGCATAGACACTCAATCCATAGCACCCTTAAAATTCACATGGCTCACACATGGGCATCAGAATAGGACTGAGAAAAGAAATCCCATAGCAAAGAGTCTGTATGAAATTATTGATAGTTCAGCACACAGTGTACACATCTTGAAGAACCCTCTTAACTAGATAATCCCTGGCCTGCCATCTTGCTGTCTGATTCTAATCATAGCCCAAGTTACGTGTCATCCTTTTTGTAAACTCTGGTTTCTTGGTTTCCCCATCTTAGTTTTCTGCTTAGAGCTGGCTGCTGCCCCGTATTCTTCTACATATGTACCCATCAAAAGGGGAAACCTGCGGCCATCACCCAGAGAGCTATATTGTCTTTTCAGGAAAACCCAAAGACCTGCATAACATTGTGAAAGGTTTTTTCATCGTGCTTTCTTCTCTAGACCTTCATCAAGCCTGCTGCAGTGGATCAGCTTCATTCCCCAGGAATACTAAAGAGCCTTCGTGAGGGTCCTCCAGCGAGTCCTCAGTCTCAGTTCTCACAGGTAGGAAAGAGGTCACTGGCTTTTACCTTCTCGAGTCTGTAAAGGCAGCTCTTGTTTTTTATGTCAAGGAGACGTTGAGGGTCTTATTAGAAGCCAACCAGTGATTATGTGTGAGATCACATGTGGATGAACAGTTGTATAAAGGACCCATACACAGGTCAGCTCTCTTTGTATCCGCTCCTGATCTGGTATTGAAAACAAGTTTGGGTAAGATCTCCTTCACAGGATCTTACTAATTCAGAGGCCACTGGGCTCATGATTTCATCACCTTCCATGCACATATTAACTTTCAAAATCCCTAAGCAATAGCTTATTTTGAGTCCCATAATTCATTGCATATACAATAGCCATCACAGGGGGAAATAAAAATGCTTCTGGTGTGAACTGAGCTTGGTGTGTTTCACGTACTACCTGATTCATGGGAGTTACTTAAAATACATGGGGGCAGAATAATGTACCCTTCAGAGAGACTGTCACACTGGCTTGCCCTGCACTTGATAGATAAATGTGATTTGACCTGTTGGAGCATTTTTGCGGTCAGTTTGAGAGGGCTTGAACTGTACACATCCTCGTGGCCCATACCTTCCCCTTGACCAGGAATATGGAAAACACACTTACAGCCTCCGTCGTGTTGCTTAACTCGTCTTGGGTTGCTTCCCTCAATATTGGTGGTAGTCTGACGTGACATATCTGCAATTAAAGGGTGATGTCAGTTGACACAGTGCCACAGAGGCCAGTTAAACATTGTTCCTTAGAAAATAAGAGCGGGATTCAATCCCGAAAACATTGGTAGTGGTTCAGGGACTGAGTCATTTGGCTCTCTGGGAGCGTCTGAACTAGCTGGAACATGTCAGGAAACCCAGGTTCCCTTCACACCACGGAAGAGGAAAGCAAGAAGCAGGAAGATGTGCTTTCAAAATAACGCACTGCTCTAGGGAGCTGCTAATTCTCTCACAATGCAGGGCTGATCTTCTTCACGGGTATTAACCCCTCGTCCTGCGGTGCGCCAACTGTGCTGGGTGGGAAAAGCAAGAGCGGCACATCTACATTATTGTAATACTCAGCACACTGTTGGGCACTTGGATATTTTTTTTCTCCTTTGCTTATTGCAAAAGAGCTGGGAATTGAAAGATTAACCCGGTTTAATTTAAGGGAACCTCCCATTTTGATGGGAATACTTGGAATGTATTATAGACTTGTAAAAAAAAAAAATGCCAAAAGTCTACCCAAATGACTCTGTAGTTACGTTTGCAGATTTGAAATTTCCCACAAAAATTAAAATACCTCATGTAGAAGAGAGATGCTATGGCTGCCCCTCTAAAAGGGAGAACGTGATTGTGTTTCTACATTAGTTTTCTGTTGTTGCAGTAACACGTTACCACTGACTTGGCTTGAGACAACACTGGTTAGCTGTCTTACAGTTCTGCAGGTCAGAAGTTCGACATGGGTCTCACTAGGCTAAAATCTGAGTGTGAGCATGGTTGTGTTCCTTTGGAAGTTCTAGGGGAGAATCTATCTCCTTGCCTTTTCTAGCTTCTAGAGGCCGCCTGCATTCTTTGGCTTGTGACCCTTCCTCCATCTTCAAAGCCAGCAACAGTGGGTAGCGTCGTCCTTCTTACATAACATCCCTCTATTCTGCTTCCTGCTTGCGCTTTGCAAGTCCTTTGTGGTTATACTGAGCCCAGCTGGAGAATCCGAGATAATCTTTCTGTTCCAGAGTTGGCTGATTAGCAAACTTAATTCCATCTGCAGCCTTCATTCCCATTTCCTATGTACAGTAACAGAGTCACGTGTTCTAGGCATTAGGACATGGACATTTTGGGGGGCGGGGGGCGTTATTCCGCCTATCGCAATTTGTCATTTTTTCTGTAAACCTTATCAAGTCAATTCCAAATGCAAATGAGTCCTTTCCCATCTGTTTTTCTACAAAGGAAATACAACTGAAATTGATTTCATACAACAATTACATAAGTGAATGTGGAGTTATACATTTATAGTAGAAGGAGAAAGGTGTTTGTTGTTTTTTTTTTAATGTATTTTAGTTAAGAGCCAAAGATTCTTAATTGAAAATTTGCGGAAAGTACTGCTATAAACAGATGACTATTAAACTTAAATCATCATCAAGTTAAGTTAAATTCAGTTTTACTTAAATATTTATTAGGAGTGAAAGCAAACATAAATGTTGAAAACTCAAATCCTTGTTTCTTAACTGTCTCCTCGTTTTCCCACAATGTACTTCTGGCTGTTCAGAAGTGATTTCCTAGATTTTATTAACCTGTAACAGAAGGGGACAGCTAAATCCATTCCAGAGAATAACTCATTTGTAACCCTGTGTTGCAGCTCCCCCAGCCAAAGGGGTTAAGGAAAATAAGCATGAACTCAGAGAACCTTGTTGCCTGGGACCCGAAACAAGTTACTTAAAGAAATGTAGGTGACCTGATCCATCAGCAATACGTAGGCTTCCCTTGGTAAAATACCTGCAAATAAATGGAATGTATACATTCAAAAAATATTTACCGGCACCTGTTTTATGCTGAGTGCGGTTTTAGGCGCTGAGGACACAGTCAGATACAGTCATGGAAAAGGCAGGCAGGATGTCTCCTCACATGAGGTTTACTTTCCTATAGGGAGAGCTAGATTAAAATGATTTTAGAGAATGTATAACAGGACACACACACACACACACACACACACACACATCAAGACACAGACATCACAAAACAGATGGCACAAAGTGAATAATTCAGGAGAATTTCATAAAGTACTATTTATGTAGGTGTGGGCAGGTTCAGGGTGAACCAAGGACCCTGGCAGGGAGCACATGGCGGGAATCAATACTCTACCCACACCCTTCCCCCCCATCGCCCCGACTGCCTGCGAGAACATCTGGTGGCCAAAACCGATTTGTAGCCTGAGGTCCCTGGAGCCCACTGTTGTCCATAAAGATCAGCCTCCCTGCACACAGAAGAGGGTGAGGCAGGTGGACTGGACCCAGAGGGGCAATCACAGCTTCCAGCACCTCCTTCTGTGTACAGATGCCTTGGAGTGAAAGACGGGGGGTGTGACCGGCCATGGGATGGGGCATTGGGGTCGATTTTAGAGTTCAAGGAAGATCTGTCTTAGGGGGGACATTTGAGCTGTGACCACAAAAGGAAAAGAAGCTATGGATGCCTGGGCAAGGAGCAGATGCTTCCCGGCAGGAAGACCCGAGCGCCAGTGCACAGGGCCTGCAGGGGGTCAACCTCGCGTGCTGGGAAGAGAGTTCAGTGTGGGAGCGACAGAGGCGGGTGAGAGGCAAGTGGTGGGAGGTGGCGTCAGAGAGACGGGCGGTGACTACCTCCGTGAAAGCCTTGTCTGAGGTTGGTTTCTCCAGGAGAAAACTCTGACACGAGGGTGTGGGTGTAGACAACTGTTTAGGAGGTGATTCCACAAGGCCTGGGAAGGGGAGTGGGGGAGTGAGAAGGGAAGGGAAGGCAGTGTCTTTGACCTGACTGCCAGCGGGCAGGTGGGCTCAGTCGCCTGCCTTCTCCGGGCCACACCGAGCCCATCTCATCATGCTTCCTCTGGAGGGGAGGACGTGGACTGCTTGTTCCTCCCATCCGTGGTTCCTCGTGGCCACTTCCAGGGACATCATCATCCGGTTCTTCTGGAGAGGTTGGTGGGGGGAGGTGAGAAGGTGTGGGTGTCTGCGGTAGGGTGCCCCGTGCAGATGTGCTCCGGGAGGGTGAGTGGTGGACAGTCGGGGTGGAGCCCCACAGCCTCTGCGAACATCTGAAAGTCATTCGGATGTTTTCTGAGTGTGATGGGAAACCATCAGAGGTGATAAATTATTCACATTTTCTCTCTGGCTGGGCTGAGCTGCTAGAGATAACAATACCAACGGGTTCTTTAAAAACAAAAAACAAAAAAAGGTGTAATTCACATACCATAAAATGCACTGTTTAAAATGTGCGATTCGCTGGATTTTAGTGTATTCACAGAATTCTGTAATCATTGCCACTAATTCCAGTACATTCTCGTCACCCCAAAAAGAAATCCCTTGCCTATTGACAGCCATTCCCCAGGGAATGGGTTCTGAAATGGCGTTATAGGAGGGTGCTTAATGATGGTCTCAGTGTTTAAAACACGAGATGTCAGTGTAGAGGAAACAGCGTCGGCTCCTGAGTCAGGCACCCCCAGTGTTGATTACTGAGCCTCTTTCCAGCCCCATATCCACGGGCAAGTTGCTTTCTTCCCTGACCTCCGTGTTCTTAGCTAGAAAGTGGAGGCAGCGGTATCCACCTTGTGTTGTTTCCCTGAAGATTCGAGGAAGCACTCTTGTGAAGCCAAGAGTGCCTGACACAGAGTCAGCGCTCACATGTTTACATACTGTACAGTAAGTCCCCCACATACGAACAAGTTGCATTCCAAGAGCACGTTCGTAAGTCCAATTTGTTTTTTTGTTTGTTTGTTTTAATTTTATTTATTTATTTATTTTTGGCTGTGTTGGGTCTTTGTTGCTGCACGCGAGCTTTCTCTAGTTGCGGTGAGCGGGGGCTACCCTTTGCGGTGTGCAGGCTTCTTACTGTGGTGGCTTCTCTTGTTGCGGAGCATGGGCTCTAGGCGCACGGGCTTCTGTAGTTGCAGCACACGGGCTCAGTAGTTGTGACTCATGGGCTCTAGGCATGCGGGCCCAGGCTTAGTTGCTCCACGGCATGTGGGATCTTCCTGGACCAGGGCTCAAACCCGTGTTCCCTGCTTTGGCAGGCGGATCCTTAACCACTGTGCCACCAGGGAAGTCCCCCAGTTTGTTCTTAAGTCCAACAAAGTTAACCTAGGTGCCCAACTAACACAATCGGCTATATAGTACTATACTGTAATAGGTTTATAACACTGCTCACAGAAATAATCCATAAAAAACAAGCATAAAAAATAAAGAGAACATTTTTAATCTTACAGTACAATACCTTGAAAAGTACAGTATAGTACCAGCTATATCACCACTGCTTTTACGCTTGCTT